TAGTCAACGGCATATATTTTTTTAAAGAAATAATTATTTTATTTAACTTTATTTATTTACTTATTTTAATTCGATGAGAGAAGGACAGTGAGAGAGAAAGAGGGGAAAAATGAGAAAGCAAGCCACCAGGTTCAGGACTCAAACTGCAGTCAACCATGTGGGAGCCCAGCGCCATTATCCACAATGCCACCTGCAGGCCCCAGTGGTATCTTTTAAAAATAAAAAATTCTTCAGCATCAGCAGATGGCATAATGTTTATGTCACTGGGCTCCTCAAACTCACACCAGGCACATGTGTGTGCCTGCCTAAGATTCCAAGAGGAGAATGGAGGAGAAGGGATTGCAGCATGGCTATCCCCCCTGGGGGGTGATTTCTTGCTTTTGTCTGTCTCTTTCTGTCGAGTGCATACATCCTATTGCAAAAAAATCTCTCTGTTAAAAAGAAAAAGAAATTATTTGGTTAAGGGTGTTATACCAGGGTATAACAGAAACCCTCGAGGTGTGTGAAGAACAAGAGTCCGCTGTGTGGTTTACACCGTGCCTTAATAAGCCCAGTATCGCCAAAGGTGCAGGAGAATCCTCTGCTTTATGGAGAGAGACCCTTGTTTCTTCATAGTGGTGCTGGGCTGAGACAGGGAACCCATTTCCAGAAAACTGGAGGCCATCTGTATCAACTGTCAGCCAAGCAACCAGATGTTTGATAGGGATTGGCTCCCACATTTGGCTTCTTGACCGGATTCTTCTTCTTTCCACCCAGATGTTTTAAAGCCACGTACACACAACGTAACGAAGCTTGCCCCGCGCACACAGAAGCGACTGCAATATTTTGGTGTCCTGCAGGGGGCGAAGTTACCTCTGATTTTCTCAAGTCGCTTTGCAGGTTCCTGCAGGCGTGGAGGTCAGCGGGGCTCTCTCCTCTCTTCAACTCCATCCCGCCCCATCCCTCCTTCTCTTCAGTCCCATGTGCACTTCGGCTCCTTGTCCCGAAACCTCTGGGGGAGCGCTGGGATGTCCGAGGGGGAGAGGTCAGAGGAGGGGAAGGTGATAGGTTTAGGGGGCTCCTGTCCACCCAGAGTTCCAAGCGGCTTAGAGAAGCAGTGGTCTCACTTTCGATGTTATTAAAATCTTAGAACGGTACCTCTTTCCCCGCCCCCTTTGGACAAGCCCAAGCCCCAGTGGACACAAGGGCTTCCCTGCGTGTTTTTGGGCACAGGCGGTGGAGACAAAAGAACAAAAAAACCCTGTTCTGTGGCCCTCGGTTGAATGTCCTTATGATCATCTTCTTACCTCACTTTCCGCCTTTTTGGCTTCCTCTGGCTTGTAAGGGAGATGACTGCCTTCACCTTCATCCTTCAGAGGCACCTCAGCCCCCCCCTAATCCTAACACTCAACAGGATCTGAGAGTCCATTTTGGAGGAGTGGGCGAGGAACTTATCACAGACTCAGAACAGGGCTGCTGCTCAGATAAGAAGTCGCTAAGTGCCATTCTACACTCAGGTCACAGGGACTCATCTACTTTTTTAAAAAAAGAATTCTTTATTTAATTTAATTTATTATTATTATTATTTAATTTGACCAGAGAGGGAGAGATAGAAAATGACAAAGCAAACCACCACCAGGTCTGGGACTTGAACTGCAGTTGGCCATGTGGGAGTCCAGCACCTTTACCACCATGCCCCCTGCCCGCCCCATGACTCATCTACTTCTGAGCAAGTATTAAGACAGGGTGAGAGGGCCAAGGTGTGTGCATATTGTCCACTAGGTCTCCCATCCATGCATGTACAGCAGGTGGGTCTGGACCTGTGTTGTAAATCGATCTGTCAGTGCCCTCATCTGTGCTCAGCTCTTACAGTTCAGAAGGCATTCCCTATTGGCCTTACAGGTTGAGCTCTTACTCAACACTCGCCTTGACAGCGTCTTCCAGAGAATGTGTGACTAGGTTTGAGCAATGAGGAGGCCCTTGGGAGGAAGCCTACCTGTGTTTGCTGGGATGCTGGGTCCTAACAGAGCTCTTGGCAGCTGTGGGTAGCACTGCGATGCCTTCATGCTCGTAACATGCTCTATGCATGCATTTCTTTTCAGAGGGAAAGAATGCCAGTAGATGGTTAAAGACTGCCCTTACTGTGGGTGAAGTCGTGTGGCCTGAAATCAATGATTCTTGGACATTTGCAGAATTTAAGACTGTCCCGGATGACCTCTGTGTCTGGGCCAAGAGGAATCCAGTGGATAGTTGGAGGTGAAGACCCTTACGCACTCGAAACAGATCCTTGGAAATAAGACAGGAATGCTTCTAAGATTCACATCAAATTGCGTTAAGTCCATGAATTCCATAGTCTCTAACTGGTCTCACTCCCAAAGCCTTGGGCCACGTGAAGTAAGCACACAGCAGTTTTTGTTTTCAAATCCATGCACTTTTCACCCAGTAAAAGAACCTGACTTTTTTTTTTTTTTTTTGAGAATGATCTGTTCAACTTTATTTATTATTATTATTTTAAAAATGTGATATGAGAGAAAGGAAGTGAGAAAGCAAGCCACCAGGTCCAGGACTTGAACTGTGGTCTGCCATCTGGGAATCCAGTGTCTAAAACACCATGGCACCTGCTGGCCCCAACACTTGATGTTTTAGTTGAATTTGCTTCGAGGATCCTTAGATGACTAGGCATTCTGGGACAACGTGAAGGCAAATGAATTTGCGTCCAGATAGGCCATTGGTGGTGGTGGTGGTATGTTGGCTAAAGTTCACAGCAACCTGTGGTGGAGGGCCTTTTTATTCCCATCATCCGGGACATGCCAAGCTCCTGTCCTTACTGGAATTGTCTTTACCTGGTCTCCTCAAGTCCTACCTTGCACCAGCTAGACTAATTGTATTTCAACTTGCTAAACGCTAACAGACAACCTGGAGCAGCATTCATATATTTCCAAAAAGATGAAGAGTAACTTCCCATTATATTTTCTTGTTTTAAAAAGAATTATTTATTTATGAAATTAATTCCATTTGTTATTATTACTTTTTAATTTAGCCAGAGAGAAACAGACAGAGAGAGAAAGAGAAAGAAACCCGCCAGGCTCAGGACGCGAACCATGATCTTTGAAACCACCACGCCACCTGCTGGCCCCGTCTATTATGTTTTCTTATTACATCTTTTTCTTTTCTCTTGGATGCTAGCCTAAGAAGCCCAACCAAAGCCCAGAGGAAGGGAGCTCCATATATTCGATTGCAAACCCTCAGGATGCTGGTCTGACTTACATTTGACCCTTTCTGCAAGTGGCTTCCTGGGGGTGTGTCCCAACTTCCAACAGCTGCCTTTGAAAGCCACGTGTTTGCCAAACGCCCACATTCCATCAATAAGAGACAATAAGTAGTGGGAGAAAACTATCAAGTTTCTTTTCTTCCTCCATGAACTCAGGCAGCATTGACTTAGAGCTGTTTTCACTTTTATTTAAGGAAAGCATCAACTTAGGTCCTTTGAAATGATTGGAAAAGAAAAAAGTTCCAGATCGGTGTATTGATTAGATCTTTTTTTTAATTGTTTTATTTTTTTTAACCAGCGACGATCCTCTCCGTTTTTAGTACCTCGCCGGCTCCTCCCGAGCCTCCAGATATTCTCTGTACTTACAAACCCACGCGCGGCGGAGGCGACGCCTCTCAGGGGAGGGCGGGGCAAAGGGGGCGGGTCTATTTAAATAGCCTGCGAGCTTCGCCTCTCCATTGGCTGCCAGCCTGTCGCTTACCCAGGAGGGCGGGGAGTCGCTGGGCTGAAGTGCGGTACCTGAGCGAGACGCGCAGCAGAAAGCCCACGTTGGCCGCTGCGGGAGCGCGGCGCGGTGGAGCGGGAGATTGCGAATTCCGACTCTGACGCCGCGGCCGCTGCTCGGCACCCGGGTCTCCTCCCTGCCATCGCCTCTGCGAGCGGGGTTTGCTGGGCAGTCGGGAAAGCGCTGAACGGAAAGCAGGATCCTCGCCGCCTCCGCTTGGGAGGCTAGCGGCGCGCGAGTTTGAGGGGAAGCGACTGTGCCCGAGGGCCGAGGGGCGCAGAGTTTTGGAGCGAGAAGGAAGTTAAGCCTCGAGGAGAAGACTGGTATTTCGGGACGCCTTGTCGCCACAGCCTGGGCCCAGCGGCGGGGTAAACTTCAACGGTGGCCCTGCAAGCCGGGAAGGGGCGTGCGCCGGGATGATGCGGGACAGCACCCCCAGTTCGTGAGCGATCCGGTTCCCCCGCCACTCCGGATCCCACAGAGCAGCCCGGGAGGGCGCCGGGTAGCGCACGTGCGCTGGCAGCCAGACCCGGGGGTGACCGCGCGGTGACCCACCCAGGCGCTCGGGCGCCGGCTGCAGCGCAGCCCGGACTCGGACGCACCTGGCCTGGACCGTGCCCCGCTAGAGACCTGCTCTGAGTGGGGCTCCGCTTTCGCCACTCCGAGTCTTTCTCCTGGTGATCACCCTTCCCCTCCAGCCTGGGCAACTGGGGGCGCCCCGGATGACCATGAGAGATAAGGACTGAGGGCCAGGAAGGGGAAGCGAGCCCGCTGAGAGGTGGCGGGGACTGCTCACGTCAAGGGCCACAGCGGCCGCGCTCCGGCCTCGCTCCGCCGCTCCACGCCTCTCGGGGCCCGCGGGGGCAGCCCGGCCGGGCGGGGAGG